ACATTCCCATAAAATTTCAGCTCTCTAGCTTTTCTGGTTCGCGAGTTATCAGCTTACCCATAAAAAGATTTGGCGGGGTCTCACTTGGGTACCACGCGGGAAAGACCGCCATTTTGGGGATAGAGGCTCGTACGTGCATGCAGATTAAGTCCCCAAAGTTTCAGCCCCGTAGCTTTTACCAGTCTCGAGATGAAAAATCGATACAGACGCGCAGCGCGCACACACACGACACAAACACACACACAGACAACCTCTCGTCAATATGCGTTTTTCGCATTGCATTGCTGCAAAAAAACGCATAAAAATGTGACGAAAGAAGAATAATTAATTAAAAAGAGTCATGAAACTGATGGCGCTGCCAGGATACGCATGGATTATCATCGGTGTGGTCATTTTTATGGTCACTAACTTCGTGCCAACATACTAAGAAAAATTACCTTAGCTTTTACTGCAGCCATGAAATCAGACTTGTTTATCACCGTACAATTTTACTGCAGCGTCGTGCTTCGATCCGCATATTATATGCGATGAAGCAAATGGTTTTTATCAGTACTACTCGAAATGCTACGAAATTTCAACACAGCGAATACCGGGCAATCCAAATTTCACATGGGCTCAAGTGGTCGTCGGTATGACAAGTACCTCTGAAGCACTTCGCGAACTTCCAACTCAAATATATCTGTATGTTTTGCTGGTATTTTTCACAATTTCCAAACATTAAGTTCTTTTTGCATGTTAAAATAAAGATAATCTTTTTTTTTCCAAATGAAAGGGAGAGTTTTTAGAAAACATTTATGTGAGAAATTTAGCATTTTCCTGGGCCACTGGATTTATTATGCTTGTTGGTCTTTTTTGTTTGACCACTAATATTTCGTTAAAAAAGTTGGATTTTAGAAAAACATCGATGCTTGAGAAAAGCGTTGTTGAAAAAATAGCCAATCAAAATACCAAATTATTTTGTATCGATATATGATAGCTAATTAATTTGAGTCGCAGTATGATTTCATGCAGCTTGCTGCTTTTCCAGTTTCTCTCATTAATGCTTCTACCAGTGGTTAGTCTGATGCCCACTCCTCCTGGAGGTTTTCCAGACAGAACCACTTGACATGATACAACATGCACTGTTAAGCCAAAGGATAAATACCATAATCTTTGATTCAACATCGCTTGCTTCGTTTTTTTTTGAGTAGCTGTTTTTTTTTTTTTTTTTTTCATTGTCGCGTTTCTACTTGCCACTGATGCGGAGGGCAATTTCTGCATTTTTTTCTATTTTGAGCCTCTCTAATCTACATAATTCCGTAGAGTAGCTCTGTTCAACAGAGAAAACCAAGACCTCAACTTACTTTTAATGTATTTTAGGTTCGAAAAAATCAGAGCACTTGATCGGCCAAGCCCCTTTCTTTTCGCTTCAGCAGTTGTCCAGCAAGCAATTATCGCTTTCATTGGAATACTTGGTATGCGGGCTTATGCAAAGGTTAGATTTTTCTTTTTTTTTGCTAATGTCGAATACAGCACATACAACAGGAGAAATCAACGTTAAAACAACTGTGCGCCTCCCATCAGATACTGTGTCTCGCCTGCCCAACCGCAGTTTTAGGGCTCACCGTTCCTTTTTTGGCTTCAGTGAGTGCAGCTGTCAAGTACTTAGCCAAGAAGATTTTTTAAAAGCCGACAGAAACTGGAAAAGTCTGTGCTGCTTATGAGCAGGTACGCTCACTGTGGAGTTATAAAAGGTGTGCACATAAGTGCCACACATACAAATTCCGACCCTTCAACTTTTGTGGTGTTGAACGTGTATTGCGTATAACATGTACTGTACAACACGTTACAATTCGAAAGGAGCGATATTGAAGACGAGAGTTTCGACTCCTTTTTGTTTCAGAACTGAAAAAAGTGCTCCATTTGCAATGATGGATCAATTGCAAAATCTTGCAATTTTTTTTTGAAATTAGGCTTTTACCATTCCTCTATTATAGCCAATTACCTTTAAAGCTCTGTATTTTTTCGACTAGAAATTTTTCTTCCTTCAAATCCGTCTACTAATTAAAAACTTTAGCTTGCTGAAGTTTTGATTGCTATTCTTTTTTCAAACTCTTTTACCAACGTTGCTGAAATACTCGAATTTTTAGGTGGCAAGGCTTATTGTGGTATTTCCACTTGTGTGTCTGCTATTTTGCATGATTTTTGCGGTCGTAAAGCTTGGTGGACGCGATGCGCTAATTGCGCTTAGTGAGGGCCTGAAACCGAATTTAAGCAAGCTGATGACTGTAAGAGCTTGGAGTGGCGCATTATTACATGTAAGTTTTGAATTTGCATCAACCCGTTGGTCAAGTTAAACTTGTTGGTGATCCTGACATCCATCACTCAGCTTTCTTTCAGGCTGTTATAGCAACAAATCTATTGGATGGCTCATTCATAATGTTGGCTTCAATGAAAACATTCAAAAACAATTTTATGCGGTAATTTATCTTTTCTCTAGCTGTGCCTTTCTTATCACTCAATGAAAACATGAGATAAGCAAGGATGAAAATTATGAGATGAGTTAGATGAACATCACTGCGGGTAATTTTTGTTTCGTCCCTTAGCTGTAAACACGGACAGAATAGTGAGTGCTGGTAGGAATGGAAATCAATAAAGAACCTTACCGCCGTGTGGAGAATAAGCTTATCAATTTTTTGGCGAGATCGGAATGGGACGAGGTTTTAAAAAGAATTGG